CAAGCCCTAGGTTACTCAGGTCTATCTGGGGAGCAGGAGGGAGCAAGGTGGGGGGCTGGGGTGGGCAGCTGCATTGTTCACCCTCTGAGGCCTTCTTCCCCTCTCATGGAATCCCTCACTGCTCTCTGCGGTTCCATCTGTGGATCACACTGTTCCTGACTTCCTCCACCCCATGATTATCTCTCCTTCTGACTATGTTCCCTTCTTTCAGCCCAGTTTGGAGAAGCTCGTATCATGTGCCAGCTACTCTGCCCAGTCTCATTAATTCTTCCTGCAACACAGTATTCCCCCTTTACTCTCTCATTCATTCATTCATTCCTTTGACATTTAGTAAACGCCTAGTATGTATCAAACACATGGAGTACAGTAAAAAATGGACAAAAATCCCTCATGAAATAGGGAAACCAGACAATAAATAATAAATACAGAATATAAATAAATTATATATTTATATATAACATATATTAATTTATTAATTCATATATATATAAATTAAATATTCATTTAGACAGTGATAATTGCTTTAGAAAAATGTAGAGCAAGGTAAGGGGGCCCAGAAGTGGCAGGGAAGAGGAGCAGTTGTTAAGAGTGGTCGGGATGGGCCTCGTTGCAAAAGATGACATCTGAAGAAAGACTTGAAGGAGATGAGAGATCGACGTGGGTGTCTGGGCACCCAGTGTTTCTCTGAGACAGAGGCCCCAAGGTGTGACCATGTCTCGCAGCTTCAGAGCAGGAGGGAGGGATCCAGCATTTAGGGGAGGAGTCTGAGAGGTCATGGAGGGGCTGTGGGCTATGGCAAGACCTCTGTTCTTTACTCTGAGTGAGATGGGGGCATCAGAGGGGTCTGGGCAGGACTGGACGTGATCCGGGTTATTTGAAGGACCACTCTGGCTGGCACGTGGTGGAGGGCTGCAGGGGAGCAAGGGTGGAAGCAGGTAGCTGTGTGAGGAGATGGAAGTTCAAAGCATCTTGCCCCAGGGTCGCACTGCTTGTGAGTGTTGGAGCCACAACTGGGATCCGCAGCCAACACCAGAGCGCATGCGCTTTGCCCTGCGCCAGCCTCCTCTCCCTGGTGGGTGAGGCCCCAGGGGACTGGCCTCCCTGGCCCAGGTTCTGAGGGAGAGTGGGATGGGTGTGGAATGTAACCCACTCTCCCTTCCCTCTGCCCGCTGAGGGTCTCCTGAGGCCCTGAATCAGGAAGGTCTGTCTCCCCTGGGAACCTGCCCCAGGCCTGCATGGAGGTATGGGAGATGGGAGGCCCCAGAAGTCGGGCCCAGCTCTGGGCACCAGGGGAGCGCGGGCATGCCGGGGCCGGGCTGTGGTGGCGGGTTGCTAGGCGACTCCGAGAGGGAGCCCTGGTTACTGCTGCCTGGCAGAGGCATCTCCCTCCTCTGCCTCCCTCACCTCCTCTGTGGCCTCTGGCCTCCCAGGAGGCCTTGTGGGTGAATTGTGATCTGCGCTTGCCATTGGATGTTGGCCGGGAGGTCTGATGGGTACCAGGTGGCTGGGCTCTGAGGAGCCAGCCTGGGCTGCAGGGCCTGGGCTTCCCTCATGGGGCACAGCCCTGGTGTACACCTGGTGCAGAGCCTGGCTCAGCAGTGAGGGCCTAGGTCCTTGTGCAGCTCTGGGCCACCTCCCTGGGTGACCCTGGACAAGGTATGGCCCTCCTCTAGGCCTCCTCTCTGCCCCATCCATCTGGCCAGCAGAATCTCTCCCCAGGGGCCTGGTTTTCTGTGCGAGTGCAAGGGAGGGTGCTGAGCCGGCAGGGCCTCAGGTGCCCCCACCCCCACTCCCTGATGGCTTGAGTGTGCAACACTCAAGTTTTGCATTAGATTCCATTAACTGAAAGAGTTCCACCACTTTGAAAAAAAGTTTGAAAACCTCTGGGCTGGATGATTCTAAGAACTTTCAGTGTCAAACCAAAAAGGTCCCCAGAGTACAGCTGGCCCATCTCATCAGTTTACTGGTAGGGAAACTGAGGCTGGAGAGAAGGAGGGACTTGCCCCAGGTCAGGCTTGCTGGAATGGATCAATCCCCAGGCTGAGGGTCAGGGGGCTTGGGCCCGAATCCCTGCTCTACCACCAGGTCCTGGGTGACCTTGGGCAAATCCTTTCTTCTCTCTGGTTTGGACCAGCCATTGTTTCAGGCTGGGGCTCAAGCTCCCAGGGGTACCTGGCTGGGCAGGAAACAGAGTGGGGAAGGATGCAAACCTTCCTAGGCTCAGAACATGTGCTCTTGGTAAAAGTCTAAAACATTATTTTTATATTCAGAAAATTTGGACGTATTATGAAGTACAATTCAAAATTCACTTGAACTCTACAAACGAATCACAAGACATATAGGAAATTTTGACCTTGTGACATGTCCCCAGTCTTTCCATGCTGCCAGCTTCTAGGGATAGTTTACATGGAAAGTTTGAGAAGCACTGGAGTACTGGCTTCCTAAGATTCTTTGGAAATTCTCTGACTCGTTTCTCTCTCCCGTGGTGGAATGCGATGTCCTTTAGACTCAGGGTGAGATTAACCTGAAATCAATACCTGGCTCTGCCACTTAAACTGTGTGACCTTGGCAACTTACTTAACCTCTCTGAGCCTCACTATCCTCATCCTTAGATAGGGATCACAATCCCTGACTTGTATGGAGTTTGACAGACTGATCACATGAGATAAAGTAGTTTAACGCTTATATGTCTGAACAGGCAGGTCCTGAGTAGGTGCTGGTACTTGGCAATGTCCTTCGTCCTTCCCCCCCAGCACTCAGAACCAGGCTGGCACATAGGGACATTGATAAAGACGTGTTGCCTTACTGACCTCCAGGTGGAGAAGCTGGGAGGTGGAGCTTCTGGGAAGCCAGAGAGTTCCATAGGGGAGAAGAACTGAGGCCTCCTAGGCCCCTGAACACAGGTGTGAGGGAGGGGCTGGGGAGCCAGGTGCAGGGGCGGGAGCAGGAAGGGGGTATCTAATTGAGGGAGCACCACTCCCTGGGGGTCCAGCTCCCCTCCTCTCAGGGCCCCAGGAGAAGCCAGGCAGGGCAACGCTTGGAGGGGCCTTGGAGCCCCAGCTGTCACCTCCTTAGACCAGAAAGTGCCAGAGATAGGGAGCCTGGGCCCTGAAGAGTCAGGGCAGTACCTGGAGCTGGGGGTGAGGGGTGGGAGCATACCCTGGGCAGCAGAAAGGACCCCTCCTCCTGGAGACTGGTGGGAAGGAGGTGGGAGGGAGAGCCCTCACGGATCAGTGGTTATGGTTACAGGTGGATTAATGAGTTAAGAGCAGGTCCATGAGCTGGGCAGATCTGGATGGAGTGGTACCTAGCACTGCTGCCTGTGGGACTGTGGGCAAGTTACATCATGCCTCTGGGCCTCCGCTCCCTGGTACATGAGATGGGGTAATGCCAGCTTCCCCGGGTTGTTAGTGCCCAGCACAGTTATGCTCAGGGTATGATATTAAGGAGGTAGAGACAGAGCAGGTCTGTTGGGTGACCTAAGAGGTGAGGTCTTCTGGCCAGAGTGAGGGATTTAACCAACGTCTATGAGCACCTGGGTTCACCAAACACTTACCCACACACATTATCTCAGGTAATGATCTAACAGCCTTCGAAAGTGGTTATTGAATGTTGCCCATTTTTTTCAGAGTTCACTGAGGCTCATAAGAGATTGAGTCAACAGCCCATGGTCACATAGCTAGGTGGCTGAAAAGAGCCAGGCATCCTGCCCAGCCCTTCTGATACCCAAGCCCATGCTGCTTCTGCAGCAGTTACTAAGCTGGGAGGTCAAGGCCACCAGGTGGGAGGCCCCGGTGGTGGGGCGTGGCAGGCCCAGCAGAAGTCCTACTCCTCCAGGTTCCTGAGGGGAGCCAGGTCAGTGGAGCTGTGGACTCCCCTGCCTTCTTGGCAAAAGCAGGCAGTGACATGGGGATCACTAGAGACTGGCAGAGTAGAAATTTAGAAGAGGATATGCCGGGGTGGCAAAAGTGAAGCTCAGGGAAGTAGGAAGGAACAGCAGAAAGGGCCATGGGGCCTGGGGCAAGCCACTTCACCTCCTGAGCCTTGGTCTTCTTGTCTGTAAATGGGGATTACGCCACCTGCTTTGTGGGGATTTTGTGAAGGCTCCACTGAAGGGGCTTTGAGGGCAGAGCCACTCTGCTTCAGGTGGGTCAGGAGGGAAGGGTGGGCTGCAGCCCAAAGGGCAGGCTGGAGAGCTGGGCTGGCCTGAAGGTGGGCACCAAGCAGAGGTGGAGTCTGAGGTCTCCACGGCCAGTGGATGTGTTTTGAGGGGCTTGCTGTGTGGAGGTCCCAGGAGCTCAGAGGAGTTGGGGGAAATCTCTGCAAAGTCTGGGGCCTATAGCCACCTTGGGGACCCCCAGCTTATTCTGCTTTCCCTGGCCAGGCCCTCCCAGCAAAGGGTTAACAGTCTTCTCTACCTGCAGTTGCATTTTAAAGACACGAAATTAAAGCAGGTAATTTATTCTCCCCACACACGAAAGAGCAATTAGTTCTAAACAGGGCTTAATCAGTCACCGCGAGATTGATTTCTGGAGCCCTGGGTTTTCGGGCTCCTGGCGCCATGCCAGGCTGGGGAGGGAGGGGGGCAGACAAATGAGCCGCAGCGGCATGAGCCCTTACATAATCTGCCGGGGGCCCTGGCAGGCTGGCCAGCTCCAGGCGGTGCTGGGCTGAGCTGGGGAGACGGGGTCCTGCTCCCCTGCTGCAGGCCCCTTAAGAGTCGCCCTCAGGTTCGCCCATGCTTTCCGGGAAAGGCCAGGCCCAAGGCTCGGGTCCCACCTTCTGGGCAGTGCCTGTGGGGGGCGGGGGAGAGGATGGGTGTTCGGGTTAGTCCGACCTGGGGACTTACACCTGTTCCCCCAACCCCCTTGCCCCCTTCTCCCTTCTGGCTCTCTCCTTTCTCACTCTCTCACCTCCTTCTCTGTTTTCTCCCCCCTCCCCGTTCCCCACGGCCTCCTCACTTCCCACTCCCCCACCCATGTCCTTGTCTCCGGCCACAGAACTCCATCCGGCACAACCTGTCGCTGCACACCCGTTTCATCCGCGTGCAGAACGAGGGCACCGGCAAGAGCTCGTGGTGGATGCTGAATCCCGAGGGCGGAAAGACGGGCAAGACCCCGCGGCGCAGGGCCGTGTCCATGGACAACGGGGCCAAGTTCCTGCGCATCAAAGGCAAGGCAAGCAAGAAGAAGCAGCTGCAGGCACCTGAGCGAAGCCCCGACGACAGCCCCCCGAGCGCACCAGCCCCGGGGCCCTTGCCTGCCGCGGCCAAGTGGGCCACCAGCCCGGCCTCACACGCCAGCGACGACTATGAGGCGTGGGCCGACTTCCGCGGTGGCGGGAGACCCCTGCTAGGGGAGGCGGCCGAATTGGAGGACGACGAGGCCCTGGAGGCCCTGGCGCCATCGTCGCCGCTCATGTACCCGAGCCCGGCGAGCGCGCTGTCGCCCGCGCTAGGTGCGCGCTGCCCGGGGGAGCTGCCCCGCCTGGCCGACCTGGGAGGCCCGCTGGGTCTGCACGGCGG